ATTCTGTACTGTATATTCTGTACTGTATATTCTGTACTGTATATTCTATCAAAGATCAGCAAGAGTGACAAGTTAAAAACTGAGAAAATATAGATTTTATATTTAAGACTTGCTATAATGAGTGCAAATTTCATCCAATTAGTACTTGAAAATAGCTTAATCACTCACAATCAATGTTTTAGTTTGAACCATTTCATAGTTATTCTGTGACGAATTGATTACAACAGTTACAATCTATTCAATGTGTAGTGTATACATAAATACTACAATGGAATACAATGGTTTCATCAATATTGCTTCCATCAGTTACAGGGATTAATAGGATCTGTGTGCATCATTATAAAGAATTCAAGGATTGAATATAGGGTGGTTTGCTGATTGTTTTACTCAGTAGGAGATGTATTCAAAATTGTTGCAAGTTACATCATTTCCTATGAGTTATTGATAGTATGAAACAAGTTACAGACAATCTGCAATCCTTGGAATGATTAAGTGCCATCGTCATACAAAGGCGTGATCAGGTGACAGGAACTTAAAATATTGAATCCTCGTTGATGTTTTCACTTTGCCACATACCCAAATAAGTGTACAACTATTACAAATGCTCTGAACACTCAATAAATTTAAAGCTATGTTGTATAAATGTAGAATTCTACCTTTCGAGTATTTGTAACAGGTGTTTCTAAACTCTTAAGCATTTATGATCTTGGCTCAAAAGAAAATGAACTAAACCAGACAATTCTATCATAACGACCTGAAGTTTACAAAGCCAATCAGTGACATGTCTAGCAGTTTATGGTATTCAAAATGGAATATTTAAAAAAATTTCCTTTAGGTGCAGTTTCAGGATTAACATTTCAGTAATCTGCAGGGAAGTGGTCATTTTCACTTGCATATTTTCTGAAAAGAAGCAGATTTCTTATTAGCTACCGTATTTCTTATGTCCAGTAAACTAGTAAATGTTTTAAGATTACATCAATCTAATTTGCAATTTACACTATTCTACACATTCGCCAATTATTGGATATTAAGATATTCCATGTACCACAAAATGATTAATCTGCATTACTTTGATTCACTTCTCTACAAACTCAATGTTTAACATCTCAATTATTTGAGATTGTTTTTGCTCAATGTAGAATAAACTCAAACTGTGGCTCAGCATAGTATTCTACAAGAAATTTTTAAAAGGAAATATTCATACCAATTTATTAGGTAAAAGTCATTTACTCAAAAGGAAATCAGGATTTGAGAGATTTAACATTACCACATATTACAACTTTATTACTGATATAGAATGGTTTTGATTCACATGTAGACATGTTAATAAACATTGTTAATGAAAATATTGCTCAAAATGAAATTGATTTAAACAATTATTTATAATTTCTCACTCGTTTCTAACACTTAATGGAAAACATCTTTAACTCTCAGACATGCTTACATCATAAATGAAAATACCACCTCCAAAAACCACAGTCTCACCTGAAGAATTGCACCATACAGTCGAAGGAGAACACACCGTGGTTCATCCTTTACACAGCTTTTAGTATCAGGCAATGAGCATTGAAAAAGCAGATTACTAAGGCCACCCCTGTTTCAAAAAAAAAACAAGGACAATATTAAACAGAATCAGAGGTGTAATGATTGAAGATTTGTAGCAAAATCTGTGACAAAATTGACCAGCCCCAGTGACCTAAAGAATAAGGCACTGGCCTCCTAAGCCAGGGATTGTGGATTCAAGTCCTGTCTGGGGTGAGTTGAATTTTGTCCCAAAACAAAATCATATGTAATACAAGGAAATATTATCGCGGTCACAAATTCAGACCCTTCTCATGTGATCCAGCTTTTAACACATTTCACCTTGTTTTAGGCAAGGTCGACTTGCAGATCAAGTCCAAAATCAATCAGGCTCAATTGGTTCTGTATAATAGTGCAGAGAGACTAACATGGTTCTGTGCAGTTCGATCAAGATGGTTCTTTCATCCTCATTCATTTCAACAGTTTCTTCAGACATTTCTGCACTTGATCCTTGGGCTAGGGCTTCAAAGCCAAGCAAGTGGCAACATTCTCTGGTTGTTCGATGCTGGCATCACTCTGTCTCAAAGTTTGATCAATGCCTGTTCACCTGTTGCCTCCAGCACCATGCTAATGCTGTCAACAGTTTGAGGTGGATGGCAGCAGTGCTAGTGGGACAGGCCTGTGCAACCAGGGCACCAAGTGGTCAGCCAGGTGCAGAGCACAGGTCTCCCCATAGGACCACATAATGCAGCAAGTCTCTTATGGGAAAACACTGGTGTCCCTATAAGTAGTCTAAGCATCTTACGGTAGAGTTTTTCCACCAGATTTTTGCTTTTTTTTTCCTCAATACAATTCTACCAAAAATCAGTATTACCGAGACAAAAAACAATCAGGACTACAAACTGAGTTTCTGCAATCTTTTGTGCTAGTTCAAAAAAAGACTCCCTCTAGAAGTCATCCCAACCATAAAAGTGGACATATCTTTAGGGTGAACTATCAGCAGGTGGATGCTTCTGACAAGTGCATTACTTTACTGGCCTTTGACAAAACTCTTAAAATTAAACTGGTTCTTTTTGGCACAAAGGTACCAATGTACATACCTTAAAAGGTTTTTGAATGCAAGTTACTAACAGACCGCCTACTGTACACCAAAATAGATAAGCAGTGGGTCTGCACATTTAAGTTACTTCCAAAAATTTCAAATGGTGTTAATCACAGGTAGTGAATTAGCAAAGTAATTAAAAATGCATGTTTGTGATGAATCCATTTTGAGATGCATTAGCAGTTTAAAGAAAATATTCCTTGATGTACTTAAATTTTGAAAAAACTAACAGGACCTTGATCAGATAGGCTGATGAGTGGCAGATGGAGTTTAACCTAAACAAATGTGAGGTGCTGCATTTTGGAAAGGCAAATCAGGGCAGGACATATACACTTAATGATAAGGTCCCGGGGAGTGTTGCTGAACAAAGGGAACTTGGGAGTGCAGGTTCATAGTTCCTTGAAAGTGGAGTTGCAGGTAGACAGGGTAGTAAAGAGGGTGTTTGGCATGCTTGCCTTTACTGGTCAGCACATTGAATATAGGAGTTGAGAGGTCATGTTGCAGCTGTACAGGGCATTGGTTAGGCCACTTTTGGAATACTGCATTCAGTTCTGCTCTCCTTGTTATAGTAAGGATGTTGCTAAATTTGAAAGGATTCAGAAAAATTTACGAGCATGTTGCCAGGGTTGAAAGATTTGAACTATAGGGAGAGGCTAAATAGGCTGGGGCTATTTTCCCTGGAGCATCAGAGGCTGAGGGGTGACCTGATAGGTTATAAATCATGAGGGGCATGGATAGGATGAATAGTCAAGGTCTTTTCCCCAGGATAGGGAGTCCAAAACTAGAGGGCATGGGTTTAAGGTGAGAGGGAAAATATTTAAAGGGGGCCTATTGGGCAATATTTTCATGCAGAGGGTGGTGTGTGAATGGAATGAACTGCCAGAGGAAATGGAGGAGGCTGGCACAATTACAACATTTAAAGGCATCTGGATGGGTATATGATTAGGAAGAGTTTGGAGGATAATGGGCCAAATGGGACTGGTCTTATTCAGGATATCTGGTTGGCACGGACGAGTTGGACTGAAGGGTTTGTTTTCATGCTGTACATCTCTATGACTCTAATTGCTCCAGATCATTTTTAAGGACTTTTATTTCCTCAAATCTTCTGACCTCGTTTCTCTGTGGAAGGTGCCATTTTCTCTTTGATATGCAGGTAAACGGGAGTCTCTTCTAATGATGAGAGCCATCTTAGAATCTTCCTGATATTAAAATGTGTTCTACCAATAATTCCAATTATTGGCTACACATAATTATCACTTAAAAGATGCCTAATCCTGTATTTCATTTTTCTCTTCAAATTTCTTCATTTGTAAATATGTACAAAAATGACTTGTCCTTCAAAGTCATCCAAGCCATTTTTTTAAAAAAAAAACTGGTCTACCATATTTTCCTCAGTCTTCTGAAGAAAGACACAGGGTATTAAACTAACCTCAAATTATCCCCTTACATTGAGAGATCAACTAAATAGACCCTCAAATAACTCAATACTCCAAGTAGAAAATTTGCATTAATTACTTCCAATGCAGTCTCGAGGGTTAAATGGTTTTATGACGTGATTCCTTAGGATTTACATCCCTTGCAATGCATTCCAAAATGCTATCTGCTGCTGTCAAAAACTGCAGCCTGGGAAGATTGAAGCTACCATTGGAATCTATTTCAGAACATTGCTATCTATCTCACGGGCTCAAACCTATTACATTGGATAGTGTCAAATGCCGTTTTGAAATCTTGGTAAATAACATCAGCTACCTCTTCCCCAAACAGAGGCAATAAGACAGACATGACCTTTTTTCCAAAAACCGTGCTGATCCTCCAGTTCTCTCATTCTCAAGATACTCCCTTATGTTATCCTTTATGATATTTTCCAAATCCTTCTCCAGTAGGCGGCTAGGGATAATAACCAGTTGATTCCTTGTTCCTTTTCGAACAAGAGGATGATATTGTTACATGTGAACCAATTGTGATTTAGCCTGAATGGAAGGAATGCGTGAAAATAACCATACACGAATGAGAACCGACAACCAATTCCTTTCGAACTAGAGACGGACATTCAGTACTACTACAAAAATGGGAGATGCAGGCAAAATTTCTGTTTGTTGAACCACAAGGAAATTTATTCCAAGAAAAACAGCCAATACACAAAAGCTGGAAATGATGCAACCTCTGGATTGGCACAGGCTTGGAGGGCCGAAGGGCCTGTTCCTGAGCTGTAATTTTCTTTGTTCTTTGTTCTTACATGCTGCTAGCATGTATTAAACAAATGGACCCCGTGAAGCAGCAGAGTACTCTTCTTGCCTTATATACTTCAGTGTTAGAAACTAAATCTCAATTGCACTTACTATTGAGAAGAAATCAATTGCATACTGCACCACCTTCAACATCAAAATCATGGACATATCATATCATTAGGGAATAGCCAAGTGGTCAGTTTGTTCCTGCTGTTTATGTCACATGGAAAAGTTAAGAGGAGAGCACTGACATTACATCCCATGTTACATGCTAAAAACTCAAAGGAGAACGATGATGATTTTGGACTCACAATTTAAGTTAAGTCTACTACTTTAATTCTTTACTTATTCTGTGTATAATCTTAGTTGCGAATATGGATATAATGGGCTGATATTATTTGTATTTATTTTGTGGAATGACATCCTTTAATCGAGAATGTAATTGGTGTCCACACAGTATTTTACCAGAATTCATAAGCAATTGGTGGCTCTGCACCACATAGCACACAAAAAGCACAGGTTTCAATTTAGAGGAGACTTCGCATTCTTATAGAAGCTCTCTCTACTGTGATTGCAAGGACAAAGTACATGAAGAAATCCTGAACTGTAACAATGTTTTAACATTGTTCCCGCCGTCTCAATAGAACTCATGTTTCAAGCTTTAGCAAGTGAACTGGAAATTCCTTGCTACCAAAACAAAGAACAAATGGATGAATAAGACATTGGTGCTTTATTTGAGCTCTGCAAACATGGTAGTATCAAGTATGCATTGGCACAGTTGACACTTTGCAACATACATAACCAATTACAATGTTTTCAAAATACCAAGAGGTCTGAGCCACCCATTTTGAGCAATTTGGTATTAAAACATCATTTTTGCATTTTGCTACAATGTTTACTGCAGAGCATTGACTTTTTATGCTCCATAGTCATGCCAGTGAATTGTCAGCATTTCTAAATATCAGATTAGTGATTGTTTTAAAGTCAGATAGCAAAAAAATTAGTAGGGCTTAGTTGGTTATATTATGAGAATAGATTTCATAAGCATGGCGTTTTCTCTCAAGTCTAGCTGATTGAAGACTCATGTGATTGAGCTGTTCATTTGTTAAAAAGATTTTTCAAAGGATAGAGAAAATACTGTTTCTTTGGGTGGCCAAAACAACCTTAATACCAGAAAATAGGACCGTACAACAGCAAAATCTGGAACTTCTCACATAAAAGCAGAAATTTAGAACCTTCTCCTTCAAAGTTGATGGGAATGCTGGAATTTGGAGTGTTCAAAACTGAGGCACAGCTTGTGCTCTGGTAAGTGTATCAAGGGATATAAAATAAAATGCAGATTTGCAGATCGGCCATGATCTAGTTGAGAAGCAGAACAAGTCCCAGGAGTTGAATGGTCCGTTCCTGCGTCTGTGTCCTTGTAAACAGGCTGATACATCTGTTAAATGCTTACTTACTGCAAATATAACAAGAGTTTTACACAACATTTATTTTACTCATACCCTGAATTCTCTCTTGGTAAACCATCTTGCCGCAAACACGTGGAATTAGTGAAACTAATTAATTCCACTTGTATTTGGAATTGCACTAAAAGAGATTTTCAATTTCTAAAAAAGTATTTTTATTTGATAATTAAATCAATACCCAAATAAATATTCATAAATCGAATAGAAACTAGTTTCAAATGGAATGCATTTTAAACATGATAGATTGGGCTGGGTGGGGACATTGCGCGATCAAATTCAAGTCTAAAGATACACTTTCCTTGGTGAATCTGCATTTAATTAATTCCAAATTCTAAATCTCCGCTCCACTGTTAATATTTAGACTATTAACAGATTTGAAACAATAAAGTTTTACGCCCAACAACACATTCACTAATTTCTGTTACCGTTTTAAAAGGTGAAACATTATAAGCGGATCGTGTTACCATGGAGTTACCCAAAGCCATTCCAACCACAATGTTTCGTTTCTTTGAGTACTTTTCACTGCGACAGACCCGTTTGAAAGTGATAACTGTACATATTTGGAATATTTGGTCTGGATTATACTGCCGCTCAAAGGGGATTTTTCACTCTGTCCGTAATGTGTAGCCTCCATTTTTAATCAATTCGTTCATTTTTTTTGTTACCTTTTTCCCTTGTCATGAATTTTTCAGATTCAAGGCTACTCCATCTTTAAAAAAAAATCGGCCAACTTAACCACCCCACCAAAGTGTACTATGAAGAAAATAATGCTTTAAAGGATGCACAGACACTAACCTGATGATGCGAATTTGAAATTCGTCTTCAGACAGTGTTTTCCAAGCACCTCGAAGAAATTCTTTGCACCAAAGATAAGCTTTATGTTTGGTTTGAGGGTCGGGTGCGTCTTGTCTTCCAGCTTTATACTCGATGTCCTCTTCATGCTGAACGCGGATCCCATTCTGTGCAATTAGCAACCCCATCCCGAGACTGTCCACTGCGCTGGAGAATTTGGTTTTCATTTATATTGACGGAAAAGAATACAATTACAATGATCACTTCAGGCGGAAAATAAAAACCTCCCAGTGGTTGGAACCAAACTCACCCTTACTCCTACTCCAGCAGCAAGGAGTTCACAAAAATTGGGAGACAAAGGGATGGAAAGAGAGGGAGAAAAAACAAAGCCTCTTAAATGAACCCCACCTAAAATCTCTGCGGGAGAACAATAAAATCAATATTTTTTAATTGATTTCTGCCGAAAAATACAATTTTAATATATAAAATTAACGTAAACGTCTGCTGATAAAATGAATCGTCAGATCTTGAAAGGATGATTTATTAAACTTAATGGCTGCAAACAACAGCACGAACGTTTTTTTCCTCTCTTGCTAATCTAACAAGCACAACCTCACACCCCAAAAGCAAACCTCACTATGCGCAACCAGCGGATGTGCTCCCTATTTAATACTTTCCTGACGTTTTTTTTAAACCCAATAAACAGAAAGAATTTGATTGGAAACGCAGCCTGCCTCGCCCCCCTGTCATCCAATGGCCATAGAGCCTTCGGTTTGGTGCCACCCTCAGCTCGAACGCTGCCACAATTACCATTCAGAGATAGTAGGAATTGTTTAGTTGTTTTACAGTTGCCTTCTTTCTCGAGTCGTTTCTTTAAAATGATTCAATGCCCTTTGCCCTAGTGCAAAGATCCTTCAGCAAAAAAAAAAGAGCTGGAGAAATTCCACAGGCCTGACTGGATTTACCCAGAGAGAGAGGCAGAGTTGATGTTTCGTGACCAACGAATCTTCTTCAGAAATGGAAAATAATGCGTTTCTTTTTAATGCTGGGGAAAGACGAGCAAGTGGAACAGGTGTAGTTGAATCAGAGATAGTAGGAACTGCAGATGCTGGAGAATCCGAGACAACAAGGTGTAGAGCTGGATGAACACAGCAGGCCAAGCAGCATCAGAGGAGCAGAGAGGCTGACGTTTCGGGCCTCGACCCTTCATCAGAAAA